GCACCCCCCCTGCACCCCAACCCCCCTGCCCCAGCCCTGAGCCCCCTCCCAAACCTCGCAGCCCCGGTCCCACACCAGAGCCCGCACCCCCCCTGCACCCCAACCCCCCTGCCCCAGCCCTGAGCCCCCTCCCAAACCTCGCAGCCCCGGTCCCACACCAGAGCCCGCACCCCCCCTGCACCCCAACCCCCCTGCCCCAGCCCTGAGCCCCCTCCCACACCCCAAACCCCTCAGCCCCGGTCCCACCCCAGAGCCCGCACCCCCCCTGCACCCCAACCCCCCTGCCCCAGCCCAATGAAAGTGACTGAGAGTGGGGAAGAGCAAGTGACAGAAGGAGGGGGGGGGCTGCAGTGAGTGGGGGTGGGGCCTCATAGAAGGGGCAGGGGCGGGGCTGAGGTGTTCGGTCAGTGACCTGCTCCGAGCGCCAGGGCGGGACACGGCCCTCGATGTGACCGGGCCATCAGGCGCAAGTTCCCGTTTGATCCCGATGCCCCGGTGGGAGGTGGGGGGCGCGGGACGGGGACGGGCTGGGAGCTGCAGGTGGGTGTTGAAGGGGGATCGGGACGGGACTCGGCCGGGGACCCAGTGCCGCCCTGAGGGCCACTGCGAAGGTCACCAGCAGATCGAAGTGTTTGCCCTAGAGTGGATCCTGTCTGGGCCCAGCGTCGCCAACCCTGGGGAGAGGGATGGTTCAGTGGTTTGAGCATTGGCCTGCTAAACCCAGGGTTGTGAGTTCAATCCTTGAAGGGCCACTTAAGGATCTGGGGCAAAAATCTGTCTGGGGATTGGTCCTGCTTTGAGCAGGGGGTTGGACTAGATCCCTCCTGAGGTCCCTTCCAACCGTGATATTCTATGAACCCGGCCCTGAGTCCCCTGCCGGTGCCCCTCACTCCCGACCCGCAGCCCCTGCCCCCCCCAGCTCTGCCGGTGCCCCTCACTCCCGACCCGCAGCCCCCTGCCATCCCGACCCTCCCAGTCCCGCCGGTGCCCCTCACTCCCGACCCGCAGGCCCCTGCCAGACCCCCAATCTCCACCGGTGCCCCACACTTCCGCCCCGCAGCTGTGCCGGTGCCCCACACTCCCGGACCCCCCCAGTCCTGGTTCCTCCCGCTTGAAGCCACCTAATTGCCTAATTAACACCCTGGCTCCAAAGTGGCTTGATTGATCCTGGCCGGGTTTACAAGGCTGGGGGGCCGGGCGGGGGGAATCATTTGTCATCCAGCTGTTTTCACAGCTGTGCCAGACAGCTGCAAGAGGGGCGGGGGCTGGGAGCCAGGACTCCTGGGTTCTCCCCGGCCCCGCGCTGGGATAGGCCAGGGGAGGGGTTGGTGGGTTAGAGCAGGGGGACTGGGGGCCAGGACTCCTGGGTTCTCCCCGCGCTGGGAGAGGGCAGGGGAGGGACTAGGTGGGTTAGAGCGGGGTAGGGGGGTGGGAGTCAGGACTCCTGGGTTCTCCCCGCGCTGGGAGAGGGCAGGGGAGGGGCTGGGGGCCAGGACTCCTGGGTTCTCCCCGTGCTGGGAGAGGGCAGGGGAGGGGTTGTGGGGTTCGGAGTTTGCCAGCTCCTTGGAGCTGCCGAAGGGGCTCCGGCGCCCCGTGGCGTCCAGGGAAGGGAAAACCAGCCCCCTCTCTCTGCGCCCGCCACTACAGCCAGGGGCAACATGCACCCCACTTATTTGGGGGTCTCTGATCCCCCTTGACCTTCTCCAATGGGGCAGTGGCACAGGGCGCTCCCCGTACCCTTCTGCCCCACAGGCTGCCAACCCCTGGCCCGGGACCCATGGCAGATCTTCCAGCCCGTTGGCCCATGATCCTTTGCACCCCCGCACCGAGCCTTTGGAGCGGGGGGGGGGTTCTCCCAGCCCCTGGGGGCCCCTGTTACCCTATAGCGCAGCGCAGCGCCCCCTGCTGGTCACGGAGCAGACACCGGCGCACTCCCATTGGAAGCTGTTTTATTTACACACGACGGATTCACACTCAATACTGTACAGCCCCCCCTTTGCGCCCAGCCCCCCGACACAACACAGCATCTAAGGGGGTCCCCCTCCCCCTCCCCCCTAACGGTGGGCGTGTCCTGCCCCCCCCCCAGAATGCTCAGTAAAGTCCCCTCCTCTCACGGAGTGCTCCTGGGTGGGGAGGTCTCCATAGCAACCGGGAGGGGCGCCCCACCCCTGCTGGAGGGGAGCAGCTTTGGGATGGGTCTCCATGGAAACGGTGCCAGGGAGCCCCCCTAACTGATGCTGCAAGGCCCCGCCTTGCTGCTGGTTTCCATGGGAACGAGGGTGCGAAGCCCCGCCCCCCGCTGCGGTGGGGTTTGGGGGGCCAGGGTCAGTCCCAGCCGTTGTCCTTGATCATGTGGCTCAGCTCGATGATGTATTTCCCCTCCTTGTACTTCTGGCTGCTCTCGAAGGCTTGTTCCTGGGGGGAGGGAGCCTGCATCAGCGGGGGGGCCCCCACCCCCGGGCCCAGCCCCCCAGGGCCCATGCACCAGCGCCGGGAGGGCAGGCGCTCTGGGAGGAGGTGGGGGTCGGATCAGGGGGTGGCAGAGGGACCCTGGAGGCCAGAGAGGGGTCAGGGTCTCTGGGAGCGGGGCTGGGGGGGGAATGGGGTGTCATTCAGGGCAGGGGCATTCTGGGGGGTCTCTGGATGGAGGGGCTCAGGGGGAGCAGGGGGTCCCTGGGGGGAGCAGGGGCGCTCTGGAGGGCTCGGGGGTCCCTGGGGGGGAGCAGGGGCACTCTGGAGGGCTCAGGGTGAGCAGGGGGTCCCGGGGGTCAGGGGGAGCAGGGGTGTTCTGGAGGGCTCAGGGGTCCCTGGGGGGGGAGCAGGGGCGCTCTGGAGGGCTCGGGGGGAGCAGGCCGTCCCGGGGGGCAGGGGGAGCAGGGGCGCTCTGGAGGGCTCAGGGGTCCCTGGGGGGGAGCAGGGGCGCTCTGGAGGGCTCGGGGGGAGCAGGGGGTTCCGGGGGGCAGGGGGAGCAGGGGCACTCTGGAGGGTCCCTGGGGGCTCCGGGTCCCACTCACGTATTTCCAGCCCAGCGTGGTCTTGCAGCTCTCACAGTGGATGTCCGATACCGCGTGCAGCCCTGTCAGCAGCACCCGCTCCTCAGCCGGCCCACACCCCACATTCACCCTGGGGAGGGGGGGAGAGGTCAATGCCCGGACACCTGGGTCCTACCCCCCCATCCCAGGCGCTCTTGCCCTCCCCAGCAGGCTGGGAACCCTGCATGGATAAATCCCCAGATGCCTGGGTCCCATTGCCGTCCCGGTCTCTGGGAGCTGTCCCGGACACCTGGGTCCCATTGCTGTCCAGGTCTCTGGGAGCTGTCCCGGACACCTGGGGCCCATTGTCTCCCAGTCTCTGAGAGCTGTCCCGGA